CTTCTTATGACTTATTTAGAAAAAAAGGCCAACATCAGACAAAAACCAAGGAGCTCATATTTGGCTTATTCAGAGTTTAAATAAAGAACTTGGCTCATGCCAAAAGATCAAACCAAAGTATTTTTGTTCTTTTTACTGTTGGGGCTTCCTTAATGTCATGATCCTTTAAGAAGATCTTTGAAAGTCGCTGTACTGTTAAAGCTGTCAGTGAAACAAGGAGACCAGTATCTCATGACTGCCCTTTGGCTTTCAAAGAGTCTATTTGGATTTCGAACCATTTTGTGACGTCAAACTCATGAAAGTGTTGCATTGTGGCGTGAAACAACATTTACAGCATCAGCCTTAATCAATCTGCAAGGCATTGAGGTTTATTTAGTAACAGTAAAGTTTATTAAAGTGAGGAAGCCACGTTGTGAATAAGATGGGGGGGGGGACCGTATAATTCCTTTAGAGGAACAGATCAGCTTTTGTTTGTTCAGTAGCTAATAATCAGCAGAGACTTCATGCAGATTTAATAAAGTTGACTGATCACACTGTGAAGTTGTCCGCCAGTATTTGATAATCAAATAGGCTCTTACAATTAATTTATGGCGTTCCTTAGAAATTGGTTAACTTAAGAATTATGAGACAAAAAATAGAAATGCTTGATGGAAGTTGGAGATGATGGCCTTCCTGTTCCTGAATGTTTTTATCTGCGCTTCTATGAGCTCATGGATTCTGTTCTGCTTGGTTTAGAGCAAAACGACGCAAAATGGCTGACAAGGTTCTTCCACAGAGGGTGGGTAAAAGTTTCCCTCAAGGGTCATAAAAAAAAAATCAAACAAAATCCATTAGAGGCTACTAGATTTCATTAATATTTTGCCCTTCTCTTGATGTTTAGATACGAGACCTGGTCCCAGAGTCTCAGGCCTACATGGATCTTCTGGCCTTTGAGAGGAAGCTGGATCAGACCATCGCTCGAAAACGGATGGAGATTCAGGAGGCCATCAAAAAGCCCATCATGGTATTTGCTTTTCATTAAGCGTTGTCTTCATTTTCAGTGGGGTTTTTTTTTCTACTTTAAAACGCAGTTGAGAATTTCTTTGTTAGTTTCAGCCCTAAACATACATATAAACGTTGTTCATTATTTGCATACCAGGTCTTCATTTGATTCAAATTTGTGTATGGAAACAGTTGCTGTAAACCCTCATGTGGTCAGAAAAACATTTAATGAAAGTAAGCTATCCCTTTTAGGTTACAAAGGGATAAAGGAGCCACTACACTTTGATCCATTTTGAGAATAAACTGCAGCAAAAAACAGCCTCATTTTCCACCAGTAACATCAGTGCTGATCTTTGAAATATTTTTTTCAAAGAAACCCTTGTTTAGTATTCGATAATATGATGAAAACTATCCAGTCTACCATAAAGAACAGGAATGAATCCTAAAAGTTAAAGTCACAAACCTTTTAAATGTAGAATTCAAAGGACCCCATCACACTTCACCAAACAATAAGTTAGTTATATGACACTAAAAGATTAACATGTAGAAGTAAACCTCAATAAAAGCACAAAGGAGGCTTGGAATGTATCATGATCCAAATCATAAAATCTAGAGTGAAAACATTGGCCTGCATGGTTTCTAATTGGATTTCTGGTTTATGGATTAATCATTTAATGTTGCAACCCAACGCATGGAGCCAAACAATAAGAAAGATGGACAAATGTCTCAAGCAACCAAGTCCT